GGTTAGTGAAGTATCCCTTGTCGTGGCCTCCTGGGCTAGTGCCTGCCAGGATGTAGATACAGCCTGGATTTCCACCAGCTTCTGTCAGGACCTGAGCTCATGGTCCTGTGCCAGGTGTCTCTTGGGAGGGAAAGCAGACAGGAGGGGCCTGGCCATGTGATGGTCCAGCATAGCTCACTCGGAAGACATGTGGGGCCAAGCTGCTCCCTTTGTCTCCCCTACCCACTAGGAGGTCTGACCTCTCTGGAAGCACCCCTCAGCCCGGTATGGATTTCCTGTCTTTCTGAGCCTGCTGCGCCAGCCAGGCAATGGAGCTGAGATATTGGCCGGGCCCTGGTGAGGATGGAGGCTGTGTGGACCCACCCCCATAGTTCTCCTCTTCCTGGATGCCATTCGGACTCCTGGGCATAGTTCATTGAATGTGGTCTGCTCTACAGCAGAGGCATCTGTTTAGCCCAAACCCCACCCTTCATCACAGGCTAGATTCCTCTATTCAGCTCCAGGACAGGAGACCAATGACCAAGCCCTTTTCAAAGCCAGAGTGACAGGAGTGTAATCTCTGAGCTCAACTGGTGTGTCAGGTACAAATGTCCTCCCTCACAGGCAGTGGGATGTGGGGTGCTGGCCGTCCAGTCAGATGAGAGAGGTACACGTCTTCCTATATCTTCCACTGGTTCTGAGTCGGATGAAGACAGCTGTGTGGCTTTCTGGGTGGGAAAGGGGAATACGCTGGGCAGAGGGGAAAACCTGGACGAGAGGCCAATATGGAGATGGAGGTGCAGAGGTGAGCTCAGAAAGCTAGACACGGGGAATAGCAGGCAGTTGTGCACACACGTGACCCCATGCTCACAGGCGTACACATTTGCACACAACCGCAGCAAGCTCATAGACACGTGTATCCATAGGCTTCAAAGCAGCATAAATTGATACACGTGTAAATACATACGGACATAAAAGCAGCTTGCTCACAGACATGCTGCATGTATGCAAAGCCAGAGCGCGCACCATGCTTGCCATAATGAATGAACACATGCGCATACACATATGCCCTTAGAACACGATGTGGAGCCCACAGCAGAGGTGTTAGATGGCTAGAGCTGGCTGTGGGGCACTAACAGATTGGTTCCTGGTAGATGAGCCTGACTTGTCTCCTCTAGAGCCAAAAGCGTGGCCACCACTCCCTGGTCCTGGGAAGGCGTCTGTGAGGTCCCTTAGTGCCGTTGGCAGGAGCTGTGGGATGAAATGGGGCTCTGCAGAGTGGGCTTCAAGGCAGAGCTTGGCTGGGGGAGCCCCGGCTCTAAAAGCACCCTCACATCCCACAGTGCTGAGACATGGGCCCAGACCCTTGAGCTGCGAGCTGCAACTAGAAGGGACTGGGTGGGACCCATCATGCCCTGGAGGAAAAAAAAAACAACAACACGTGACCCTCTATTTCCAGACTGTTATCTCTAAGCTTGTGGTCTTCATAGCTGTCCACGCTGGCAGAGCTCAGGGCCCTCTAGCGTGGTGTGGGAACTCCTGGAGTGCAGCCTCCAGCTGTACTGAGAAGGAAGCTGCTCTGCTGTTAAGACAATTTATTTTACTCTTCAAGAAATGACTCGCTGTTTACAGTCAGTGAGGGAGCACCTCTGGGTTGGTGGACACAGCCAGCCCTTGGTTGCCAGTGAGGAAGGGCTGTCTTGTGCCAGTGTAGGCAATGCAGGCTACTGGGGCAGGGCCACAGTCTTCTAGCCACACCCGTGTCCCATCAGCCTCTATCACTGGCACTCTGGGATCAGCAGTTTGCAAAATAAGATGATGTTTGTGAAGATGCAGTGGAGAGCTGGGGCAGCAGGGTGAGAGGAGCTGTGAGAAGGGAGTGGCGGAGGAGATGCTGAGATGTAAGGAGGGCCTTGTAGGAATGGACTGAGGGAGCACATAGAAAGGACAGGGAGGAACTAGCTGGAGAAAGCCCAGAGGGAGGTGCTGGGGCTGGCACATGCCTTTAATGCCAGCACTCAGGAGGTAGAGGCAGGTGAATCTCTAAGTTTGAGCTCAGCCTGGTCTTCAAAGCAAGTTCAGGACAGCCAAGGCTACATAGAGAAACCCTGTCTCGAAAACCAAAATCCAAATCCACAAAATAAAAACAAACAAACAAACAAACAAACAAACAAACAAACAAACAAAAAGAATGGCACAGGGCTGTACAACAAAGAACACTAAGGCCCAGGTCAGCGCACACAGGTGCTCTCCTGCAACTCTTGCAACTAGGGAGCAGTTTGTAGGTACGGTAGGAAGAACGTCCAGGAGAGGGGTTCAAAGGTCTGGAGTGTGTGGGCAGAGGAAGAGACCTCAGGATACCTCTGAGATCCAAAGGCCCCAGCCTGCTACAGAACTCCAGAGGGGCTGAAGATGACCAGTTAACATAGTTGCTTGTGTCCTTGGCCCCTATACCCTCAGAAGTCTTGAACTTCAGGGGAGGTTGAGGCCAGGAAGCAAGGTTTGGCTTGGGGGTGTCATCCAGGCATGGGTGGACTGGGTGACCTGGGCCAGAGTACCCAAAGACTTTCTAAGGGATTCTTTGAGGTCAGAAAGACTGGGCAAGGCATGGATTGGCCGGAGATTCCCTGTGGACTGCCACCGTTAAGAATCCAGCTGCTTTCTCCCAGCTACCATATCTCCTAGAAGTCCTGGCCAGGCCACCATGATGACTTTTAAAAAGGTCCTGGGACCTGAGCCTGGAGGTTGAAATGATAGAACCAGGGCCTTCAGCTACTTGTTGTCTTAAGGCCCAACTTGCTGATAAAAAGAAGTCAGGTGTCTCCCTGCTTTGGATGCAAGAGGCAGAAACTGCTGGGCAGGATTGCTGCGGGTCCCTTGGCCTGGCACACTTCCTGGGCACATGTGTCTGATCCCCAGGAGGCCCACAGGAGTTAGAAAGAAAAAGGCTGGACTTCTGTGGGTCCCTGCAGCACAGCTGTCCCCTCTGTGAGTCCCAGATTCCTTGTAGATGCTTATGACCACAGCTGGTGCCTTCCTGCCGCGTCACACGGTGTCCATCCCCAGGATGGCTATTTCTGAATGATTTTGCCCCTAATCCCAGCGGGGGTCTCACCTCTCAGGCAGGAGCCTTATTTCTAGGCTCTTTGTCACTGTGCTGTAGGGCCAGAATGGGGTCACTGCCCACTTCCAGAGTCTGACTGGATGTGACTGCCCCTCCAGGCCAGGCCTGCCCTTCTCTAAAGCCCACAGCTTGAGGAAGGTACTGTCCAGTAGGCTGGGATTTGCCAGTTTTAGCAGCAGCTTCTAATTCTAACACCAAACAGTGACAGTGCATCACACAGTGGAAAAGATGCTTGAGGCTGCAGGGACTCTGCTGCCTGAGCCTTCTGGTAACAAGGACCCCAGGAATAGGTGGGATGCCGCCAGAGAAGATGGCCAGAGCTGATGAACACTCCCAGGCCTTAGCATGGCTGATCAGAGCCCGGTAGGCTGCTGGGAGTAGGCTGACCTAGACGGGAGGGTGAAAAGTGAGGCCTGTCCTCTTACTCATCTTACGGACTCAGAGATGAGGAGCAACAGGATCTACACAGGACAAGAAATCCTGACAAGAGATTAATTTCTGGAGTTAGCACAGCAAAGGGGTGCCTTCTCAAGCAGCTAGGTACCATGGAGGAACTGGGAGGCATCATAGAGCCTGAGTGAGGGTCCCTGGGCTGACGGTGTCCAGGCTGGGTTTAGTACAGACTGCTTAGGAACAGCCGGAAGTTGTATATGAAAAGACCTGTGTAAGAATAAGGCCTGGCCAGGGGACACATGCTGGGGGAACCCCAAAATATATCAAATGTGTTGAAATTGGGCTGGTTTCATGGCTTTTAGTGTGTGCTGCTCTCCAGAGGACATGGGGTTCGGTTCCCAGAATGCAGCTTACAACTACCTCTAATTTCTGGCGTCCTTGGCCACCTGTATTTACACACACACACACACACACACACACACACACACACACACAACACAAACACACACACTCGCATGCAAAATCTTTAAAACTATGTTAAACTCTCAACCTAGAGAGATGAGAAGCTTGGCAACAGGGAGGCTGGTGCTGGAACTGCCTAACACAGCAGGTGCCTGGTCCCGGCCCTGCCCCTGCCCTTTATGGATTGTGACTAGAGCTCAGTTTCCTCAAACCCTGGGTCCCAGTGCTTAACAAGCATATGAGCTTCTCAGCCCCCAGTCTCTGTCCTTAAGGATTTCAGGGAGTCTGTCACTATCATCTCCTATTAAAGGGGTAAGAATCGCGTCTTAGGGAGGAGACATGGCCACCAGGAAAGCTAGTAGCAGATGGCCAGCTAGATGGAACAGTCTCTATCTGGACTATACCTTTCCTCTTGGCCTTGTAATCTCTCTGAGCACTGCTGAATGAGTCTGAAGCCAGTGGTCCAAACATACACAGCATAGGAGCCACCCAGGGCACTGGCTTAGGGCCAGACCTCTAGCAAAGTAGGCTGGACTCATGTGCTAACAGGAACCAGAGACTGTGTGGACCAGGTGGGCTGAGCTGGAAGTAGGCAGTCTGGAGGAAGCAGCCTGTGGAGCCCCGCAGCTTCTGAAGGTAGGTGATCTGGGCCCCTCGAATCCTGCCACCGTGGCTCAGTCCATGATGACAACACATACTGGCTTGGTCCCGTGTTGACTAGCTGTGGTTGGACTCTGAGTCTGGGGAACTGCAGGGCCTGGCCAAGCCTTGGCCTGAGCTAGTGAGGTCATGTCCATCTGCCATTCCCATCTGCCCAGAAGCAATCCTCACTGTACCTACTGGAGGGATCCCAGGGCTGGGAGCTGTTTCACTGCTCCAGCCTCTCTGTAACCGCCAGGATTCAAAGAGTAGATTGTGCCAACGTCAACAGAATGTGAATGAGAACAAGACAGCACGTGGTGCTCTGTCAGGGAGAATGCCCAATTAGGAGGGTAGCTGTGGGGGCAGGGCATCTGGGCCTATGACACAGGAAGTGCTTGGGTCCAGGAAGATCACACACAGCCGTCACCCACAGGCTGCAGTGCTTGGTTACCACTGCACCATGATGACAAGGGTGGCCCAGGAGGCACACCTGCAGGCACGCTGGCAGGACTCAGCGCAGAGAAACCAGGCCACCCAGCAACATCAGAGCCGCCAGGAGCGCACACGGCAACCAGGCCTTACCTCGAGCTCTGAGGAAAAGCACGTGGATGGGTGTTAAGACCCACCTGGTGCAGATCATGACGGGCTCTGCTGTAGTCCAGGTAACCATGTGGTTCTAGGGTACAAGTTTACCATATAGAAATTTGGGGTGGCATGCTGTGTCTGATGTCCTAGGAGGCCTGGGGGTCCCTCAACTCACAAACCCCAATTATTTTCATTCTCTTTCCAGGCTGAGTGTGCAGAGGAGAAATGGTATACGGCCTGCAGCCTGGGACCTAGAAGGGAGACTTCAAGACAGATCTCGCTCGGTGACTAATCTTCCCTTCTGCCAGTTTAGCTCTCTAGAACTATCTGAAGATGCGGGGTAGTGAGGTGGGGGAAGGAAGCTGCTCAGACATTGCCTGACCCCAGACTCTGTCTTCCCCTACCAGAGCAGCTCCCTATGAGGAGGATTCAGCATGGGTCCCAGGAAGCAGGCTATGGGGCTCCAATAAACAGGACAGACCATAGTACCCTGTGGACCTCCTCTTCCCTAGGGATTAACTGGTCTGGGCCAAATGTCCCCAGGGTGCTAGCACATAGCCAGCAGAGCTGCTGGGGAGTGTGGTCCTGAAGGACATGGCAAATTCTACAAGTGGCTACATGTAAAGATTCTATACGGTAGTTGCATGCCTGGTTCCCTCTAGGTTGGAGTCAGCTATAGAGAGGCAGCGGTATTGAGCAGAGACAAGGGCCAAAGTTAAGGGCCCTTGTAGAGCCAGGCACAGTGCTGCATGCCTGTAATCCCAGCATTCACAGAGGCAGAGGCAGAGGCAGAGACAGGTGGATCTCTGTGAGTTCGAGGCCAGCCTGGTCTACAAATCGAGACCAGGACAGTCGAGGCTACACAGAGAAACCCTGTCTGAAAAAAAAAAAATAGGGAGAGCACTTGTGGACAGTAGGGTCTGAGGGGCAGAGGCGTCTGCGGCTCCCAATCAGGGGTCATATCTGTAGGAGAGAGCCTGGCGGATATCCTCTGGTTGCTCTGAAGCTTTTCCCTGGGTTATCTGCCAGAATGATGGCAGAGCCAGAACTGAGTGCTTCCTGCCTCTTTGGACAGCCAGCCCCAGCTTCTAGCCTGGGCTGGGCTCTCCAGGCGAAAGCACAGGCAGGACACCCTGCTAGGTGCTGCTGGCAGTGAGACACAGACAAGCAGGGGTAGGGTGGAAGAAAGAGGGTAACTGACAGCCGGGGCCAGTGAGTGTAGACTTCATGGGCTGTGGGAGTCCACCAAGGAGATTCCTGCCACAGGGCGTCTCCTCCACAGGCTCCAGAAGAGCAGGTCCTCACTCCTGACTCTGCCCTGTTGCAGAGTCTGTCCAATAAACTGGGTCTATGCCACTGCTAATGTAGCACCCTTTCCCTACATCACACCCTGGGGCCACCCTACTCCAGAACTAGGCTTGGCTCCTCCTAGTCCTGGAGTCCTCATTTGGGTGTGGACCCTGGGCAGCTGAGGGAGGTGGGGGACTGAAGGCTGCTGAAGAGCAGCAACACCTGGAGTCCCTGTGGTGGGGGACAGCCAAGGCAGGAGGGAACAGAAGACAAGATGGTATTGGGGAAGGTCCAGGTACCACGAAGGCTCAGGGAAGGATGGGGTGGACCTCTCCAGATAACTCCAACAAACCCCAGCTTTGTCCACCTAAGGCTATACGACTGACAAGAGGGACAGTGCGCCATTTACTGTTTGAGCCATGGGACTCACAAAGCTGTGTTCTCTCATGGTAAGTGGGGAGGGACTAGGGACCAGTGTGATGGGTCAGAGTGTCTGAGTCCTGCCCCGTCCATTCCCCTTTATACTGCCCAGCCCCAGGCTGTCCTTTCCCAGTGTTGATACAGCCCTATCCGCAGCCCCTATGGGCCTCCTCATAGTGTCACTGCTTTCCATCGACTTTGTAAGGAAAATCCCATGTCTCCAAGCTGCTCCTGTCTCCTATAGGGTGAGCCGGGGCCAGCGGGAGCCAGAGAAGGTACTGTGATGTCCAGCACAGCTGCTGGGAAAGGAGATGGGGTGGGGGAGTCTCAGACCCTGAACCATGGGCATGCAAAATCCTGCCTTTCCACCTGGCCAAGCACACACCTCTGTCCCCGCCTCAAGGGCCCGCTGGGCTGAGGGTGAATGGGGTCACCGTTAGCACTCTGGGATGCAGAAGGTGTTCTGCCTGACCAAGCTCTTGGAGTCTCCCCACTGCTGGCCAGGCCAGGAAGACTACCTGATTCCAGCTCCGTGGCCCGGTGAGCCTTGCCTTCAAGGCTCAGCCTTCACAGAGCAGAAGTGGACTCTCTTTACCAGCCTGCGGTGGGGTTGAGGGAGTCAGCTAAGTGTAGCAGTCTTTGTGCAGGGATCTTTCACGGTCTGTTTCCCCTCACTGTTCTTTTCATCTGTCCCTGTGGCTTCTGAGCCAGCTGTGTTTCTGTCCCTCTGCTGGTCTAGGAGGGTCGCCAATGTGTTAGTGAAGGAGGCCTTCAGTCCCTTGGTGGGGGTGGGGGTGGGGGTGGGGGTGGGGGTGGGGGTGGGGGTGGGGGTGGGGGTGGGGGTGATGACTGGGATGCATTCACATTGGCTCTTCCATGCCGGCTGAGGTTCAGGGCAGCAGGCATGCTAAGTATGGCCCACTTCTGCTGTGTAGCATTGCGCTCTGAAGTGCTTGCTCCCTGGGACTAGCCTGTTCAGAGCAAACCCAATGTGGTGGCGGCCGCTGCAGACCTGAATTCAGGGCGTGTGCTCAGCGCTGCTTGTCCCCTCTCACCCGGGCCCTAACGCAGCTGCTCTCATTCACCTAGGTGTGTGTGTGTGCGCGGGTGGGTGACACCAGCTGTGCCCCTCCTGAGCCCCTGAATAGTCCAGACCCAATGGTGAATCAAGAGGAACCCAGGGAGCTAATGTCAGGCTTTCTGGAGGGTGACAGGAGGGGCCGCAGCACATCTGCCTCGGCTGGGTGAGGGCTCACGGGCAACTCGCCCGTCCATCTGCAGGCCTGGAGGGTTTCCTGGGTGGAGCAGGGAAGGGCAGGGTCCTGGGAGGCTTTGGCTGGGCATGAGATGGAAGTAGGATGAGCAGGAAGGCCCTGGTTGCTCCACGAGGGTGGAGCCTTTGAGGGGGAAATAGGGAAGGGCGAGTGACTGGATTAGGTGGAAGGTAGACAGATGGACAGGCTACATGCTTACATATGCTAGTCAGAGGAAGCAGAGGGAGAGCTCAGATGTAACTAGGCCGACAGGTGACAGCAGCAGGACCCTGCGTAGAGGTATGGGACTGGGAACCAGGAAGGGCTGGCCAGAAAGCCTCAAGGGGTGGGTCTGGTAAAGCAACCCCAGGCAGGATTCCTAAGGAGTGTTCCCTAAGCACCTGCTGCCCAAGCCTCTTGCACCCTCTGCCTAGCAGCACAGGGACTGCTACCCAGAATCCCACAGCCTGACCAGAGGCACAAGTTCCACTCTCTTATCACTCCTTCCCTCTCTCCCCTCCTTCTTGCCCCTCTCCATCATTTTTCAGAAATAATTGTGAGGCAATTGTTTCAGACAGTGGCTGGACCTTGCCCCAGACCCTTGCAGGGTGGCCTGGGTGGCGGCTGGGTGGACAGTTTGCCCTGTCAGGTCGTCATCCTTTTCTGATTGTGTGAGGTTACTTCCCTCCTTTGTCAGCAGTGCTGCAAGCCTTGGCGGCATCATTAATGCAACTCTAGCACTCTGGTGTGAGGAGGGGGCTGCCTGACTGCCATTCTCTTCCAGCCCTAAGATGGATGTTCTTTGATTGCCCATAAATCTCTGCACAGTCTCTGTGAAGACAAATCTCCTTGTCCCTCGAGTTTGTTGGGCTGGCTGGCGGTGGGTTTAATTAGGGCCTTGGTACTCACAGGAGCAGCTCTGGAGAGTTGAGGGTCAGGCCACATCCCGTGCCCTCTTGCTTTGTGTAGGGGAATTGAGTTTGGTCCACATGAGGGAATAAGATGCCATTCTTCCCCTCTACCTCTGTTTGTGTGGGTACCACCTGCTGACCCTGCAGTGTGGCTTGCTCCTGCCCATGTAGCCCTGCAACAGCCCAGGCCCACGCTTGTCCAGGCAGCCTCCAGCACCTTAGGAAGCCTTCTTTTCTGTGGCTTCTTCTGTTGGAACACGGTAGGTACCTACCAGATGCATGCGCCAGATGAGTGGGGCCCTGCTCTCCCTGCCTGTGCTGAAGCGTGAAGCATGCCTCCAGGCCCAGCCACAGTACTGGCCAAGGGGGCAGGGTCCAAACAGGAGCCGGCTGCCTGCTGGTCCTGCACAGCCCGCCAGCCCTCATGTGTAATATGCTATTTGAGCCAGAGAGGGAAGGAGGTAGGTAGACAGGTGTAGGTGTGTGTGTGTGTGTGTGTGTGTGAGAGAGAGAGAGAGAGAGAGAGAGAGAGAGAGAGAGAGACACTCAGGATGTCAAGTGAATTGTTTTGTTGGTGTGCCCGTAGAGGTGACTGTGTGCTGACAGTTGCTATACGATTGTGGGGGCCCCTTGCTCCACTCAAACGTAGAGTATAAGAGCCAAGAAGATGGCCCTTGGAGCTGCCCTTGATGTGTGTGTGTGTGTGTGTGGTTGGGGAAGAGGGCTCAGGCACCATAGAGATAGTTAAGTCCACAGTGGCTGAAAATGACCTTGGGGCCACATGACCAGACAAGTAATTGTGTTGGTCACATATTCACCATGGCCAAGAGCATTGTCTTCCCTCCCAAAAGACATCCCCGGCTGCCTGGCACCGAAGAGAGGCTAACACCCAGAATCCTCTGGCATTCCTGTGTTCCAGAGTGTCCCGGGCAAGCCTCAGCTCATAGCCAGTTATGTAAACAAATGTGCCCTCAGCTCCACCCCTGTTCAGACTTGCCTCTTCAAGCAAGGGACATCAGCGGCATCCCTAAGAGGCCTTGAATGTAAGGTTCCCATGGCATGCTGAGGAGGCAGAGGCCTGCACATGTCTCCCACTGTGAGGAGGGCTACCCCTGTGCCCAGCTGATCTGACCAGTTCTCACTTCTCTGCAGACATTCTCAGTCTCACTGGACACACACTGGACATTAGCCACTATGCATTCTGCTGCTTCTATTATTTTAGAACTAATTTAAAGATTAAAAAAATAATAATTCCGCCAATTATAGTACAAAGCCCCACCAGCAAGATACATGGGGCAGATGGTCCTCTAAGCCCAGCTGTGCAGCCCCAAAACAGCTTGTAGGACACCTTGGTCCCCTGAGCATCTGCAAGAGTCTCACTGTCCTCCTAGGATCCTGAGTGACCTTAGGAAATGCTAGCTCTGAGCCCAGTGCCTAAAGGGCTTGCTCCAGACTTGTTTCCCAGGGCAGCTATAGTCACTGTGAGCCAGGCTCCGGCCGTCAGTCTTCAGAAATTATGCTCAGTGGTGTGGCCTTGGCAGGGCTTGGCACACTGGGCCAGGCCTGTGAACAGGGAAGGATTATATCACAGGGAGCCCTGTGGTCGGCCTA